TCAGCCTCCCAAGTAGCTGGGACTATAGGCACCCGCCACAACTCCTGGCTATTTTTTTGTCGCAGTTGTCATTGTTGTTTAGCAGGCCCAGGGCGGGCTCAAACTCGCCAGCCTCGGTGTATGTGGCTGGCGCCCTACTCCCTGAGCTATGAGTGCTGCCATATTTATTATTTTTTAATTTCAGGTTAATGTGAGGGCATAAACTAGGTTACAGTATTTTCATATGTTAGGTAAAGTACCTCCTGTAGTTATGTGTGTATTTTTAAAAAAGTATATACATATTTTTTTTAAATTTTGTTTATTATTTTATTTATTTGAGACAATGTCTCAAGCTGTCACCCTGGGTAGAGTGCTATAGCATCAAAGCTCACAGCAACCTCCAACGCCTGGCTATTTTTTTGTTGCAGTTGTCATTGTTGTTTTGGCAGGCCCAGACTAGATTCGAACCTGCCAGCTTCGGTGTATGTGGCTGGCCCCCTAGCCACTGAGCTACAAGCACTGAGCCTACATATATATTTTTTATTTAATAAAATGTATTTTTTAGGGCAGTTTTAGGTTCAGAGCAAAATCGAAGAGAAAGTTACAGAGTTCCCATTTACCCCTATCCACTCACAAGAATAACCTGTTCCATTACTAAGTACCTCTTCTACCACAGAGGTAAATTTGTTCAATTATTAACATTTCATAATTAAGCAAAGTCCACAGTTTACATTAAGGTTCACTCTTTTTGGTTTTGTTTGTTTTGTTTTTTCTTTGAGACAGAGTCTCACTTTGTTGCCCTTGTCATGGTGTCACGGCTCACAGCCACCTCAAAGTCTTGGGCTTAAGCGGTTCTCCTGCCTCAGCCTCCCCAGTAGCTGGGACCACAGGCGCCTGCCACAATGCCTGACTATTTTTTGTTGCAGTTTGGCCGGGACTGGGTTCGAACCGGCCACCCTCAATATAGGGGGTGGGCGCCCTACTCACTGAGCCACAGGTGCCTCCCGGCTGCTTCCAAGTTTTGATACTTACAAATAAAGCTGCCACAAACATCCATGTGCAAATTTTTGTGTGAAAATAAACTTTCAGTTAATTTGGGTAAATACCAAGGAGTGTGATAGCAGGATACATACGGTAACAGTTTAGCCTTATAAGAAACTCCCAAATTGTCTTCCAAGGTGGCTGTGCCATATTGTATTCACACCAGCAGTGAATGAGAGTTCTTTTTGCTGCACATCTTCACTAGTATTTGGCATTGTCAGTGTGTAGTTTATCTAATTATTATTATTTTTTTCTTGAGACAGTCTTACTTCGTTGCCCTTGGTAGACTGCTGTGGTGTCATAGCTTACAGAAATCTCAAACTCCTGGGCTTAAGTGATTCTCTTGCCTCAGCCTTCCAAATAGCTGTGAATACAGGAGCCCTCTCTGGCTTGGGCTAGTCTTGAACTCCTGAGCGCAGGCAATCCACCTGCCTTGGCCTCCCAGAGTGCTGGGATTACAAGTGTGAGCCACCAGGCCCAGCCGGTCTTATTGTTTTAATTTGCAGTTCCCTAATGACAAATGATGAACATATTTTCACATGCTCACTTGCCATCCATATGTCTTCTTT